GGGGGGGGGATAACGCTACAAAGCATTATAAAATACCGGAAGTAATTGCCTGTCTATACACATACCAAAACTATATGTACATGTATTTTAAAATCTTTAAAAAATGTTTAAGACAATCGTATATAAATTATCTTACATGAGTGTCCATGTCATATTGAATTTAGTAAACGAGTTCAATAATTTGATATGACACGAGCCTTTAGGCGAGTGTCATATCAAATTATTGAACGAGTTAAACAAATTCAATATGACATGGACTCAAATGTAAGATTCTATTTATCACAAACAATTCATAATTTGAAAAAACAGCATCAACAACAATTATGTGCTATCAGATGATTCTATTTAGGTAAAAACCAAAGTACTCAGATTTTTGGTTTAATAATAGCCAGTTTTAAATACAATGCAAATAATATTATTGACAAAATAAACTTCATAGCACTTTAAGGTTATATTATACGCGTGTAGTACTATATTTATGACATGGCCGTATGACGTCGTAAAATTGGTCAGTTAAGCGATAAGGAATAATATAAACAAGAGAACCGCCGGGCAGAACAATATATCCCCGTTACATGCCAATCTGACATGCATAAAATCCTTCTGGTTCATTAATATATATAAATGTATGAGAAAATGGAAATGTTAGGAGAAGAAACATCATTTGTAACGTCTTTATCAATATTCGAGAGAAATTTGTCTGAAATGTGGTGAAAGGATAAAACATACCGTGCTTGACCAACTTAAGCCAATAAGCTTTAAGCTCAGCTTTTGTCAATGTATAATATAAACATTGACCAAGTTTCATCAGAATCCGGTCATATTTGACAAATCTTAAACTTATTAGGCAGAAATCGTCAATAAACATAGCTAATGAATTACGCGCAGATTTTGCTTAACTATAAACTCGGCCTCAGAATCGAATGATAGAAAAGTATCTTGCAGAAACTAAGGTTTGAAAAATTGATCAATCAGAGCACAGTATGCTAATAAATAATGCACGGATTTTGCTCAACTTGGAACTAAGCCTCAGTCGATATAATGTACAAAGCATACAAAATCAAACGATATTACAGCAAGCTATCTTGCGGAAACCAAAGTATTGACGGACGGGCGGACGGGCGGACGACAGACGTTCCCCATTCCATAATACGCCTCGTCAAATTTGTTTTAAAATGATCAGAATGTAATACATGTAATTTATAAAATCATTATAGGTTTCATGGATACAAAAAGTCATCAAATCCAACGGACCTTGGACAAACAAGGCAGGATAACGCTTTTGAAAAAAGGTATTCGGAAAGATAGTATTTTTTAACACCAATGGCTAATCATAATGAGAAACAAAATGGCAACAAGACAGTACGCTTATAGAATTAGCAAAAAGAAATTCAAGAGGGATATCAAATCTCACCTCTTCACGTCTGTATTTAAGGCTCTTTGCAAAGATGTCATGTAAATACCACCCTTTATTTGTTCATTTATGTGCACATTGCGATGATTATCTGCTTGCTTATATGTATAAAAGTGATTGTAAGCCTTTGTTTTTGTTTCACAATTATAACTAATACTATTTTAACTGTATATTGTTGTTTATTTATTATTATATAACATATATGCATGACTTTTATAACCATAGAAAAGTGCTCATAAATTTCTACCACGATATCTGTGATAATGAATGGGAGTGCGAACGTAAGTAAAATGTATATATGTAGTCTTATCTATTATCCTTTATATCTTATTTACAATGTTACCAAAAACAATGCAAAATGTTTACTGCAATGTATAGAAAGTTGGAATAAAAATTAAAAAAATAAAGAAATATGTTTTTAATTTTGTGTTTCGCTAACAAAGATCACGATTTAGCTTCGTAGAATGCCGAGTCGTGTGTTAACAAAACAATGTAAAACAGCGCTTCACATCATACATTTTGTATTTTTAAAATCAATCAATGAATTTGCGATATGTTATCCTTTCACAAACTGCAAGAATACGTAAGGCTTGGGTTTCTCGGTATTAACCGATACCTTTACTAAACTACTGACAAATGATAAAGAGGCAGTTCTACGCAGAGACAATTTACCAACTCGAAGCAGCATAACAAAAGATTAATAAAACTATGACTTAGAAAATCATATATGTAAGTATATCTGTAAACTAATAAATGTTTTGACTTTCAATTATATATATAGTAAATGGCATTCAAATATGAACATCTTGACTACACAATAAAGGTAATAATATATTATGATGATATAGTCATAAATGTAGACATGCAATTTCAAATAATTTTTGCTCAAACTATGTATGTATGTACGGTAGATATATGTGTTTATGATATGTGTTGGCATGTATACATGAGAGTTTGTATGCGATCGCAAAAAATACCAGTGTTACCAACATAGTTAAAAATCAATTGATTGATTTATCATCTTAAGACGTCTTCAAATATGATTCTTAATCATGCCTTTTGTATTCATATACACATTGTAAAAAGTTTATATATTAAGTAAGTCATGTGGTTGGTCTTTCTCGATGTAAACAGTCTAGTGGAAAAGGATTTACCAGGATGAATAAACAGGAGAAAGACGTATTAAGGCACGGGATGTGACGAACAATTGATCAGTAACAACGTATGGAATGTGAACAGTCTATCATAACGACTGTCTGTGTACGGAAAGACCATCCACATGATTATCATAGAGTATATTTTATATCAGCATCATAATGCACCTTGTTTATGTACGATCATACTTATATACCTGTATATATACTTTTCTTGAAATAGTCTGTAAATCAACGTCGACCATAAAGTGTACTAACGATGACGCAACAGAAGGATTTGCCTTGACCACAATTAACCGAATTTCCGAATATAACATATTTTGTACTTGTACCATATTTTACACTACATTTCTCCAACTCTGTTCTAACTTTCCCTGTTATTTTCCCTTTTCAAGGCATATATATATGTACATCGGTTTTAAGAAATATGTACTTTTGATGTAGTAGTCACAGGCAGTATTTCGAGTATATATGTGTGTGATTTTGAACCGTGTAAGACTGAAAATCATTTTTTGAAACAAATACAAGAAATGATATGTGTGCCTTAATCGGACATTGCACGCCTAAGTATTCAATCAACTTTGATTTTTGGTCTACAGCAACATCTACAGCAAGCTCTGATCGACCTCACACAGCACCAAATACTCAGGAACGTCACCAAAGTTATAAACAGCAAGACATCTAGGAGGTAATATTTATATAAAGGCATGTCAGTCGCCGGTGTTTGGAGGTAGTCGCCACCATGTTGGATCACGTGATCAATCCAGTACGCAGAACGTTCACTGGGCGTTCCCTGTTGACCATGGAAAATGTCTGATGCTTTTTTAATTTTCACGCTATATTTAGGATTATCAAGAATTTCCTGTATGGCATTCGATAATTCCAAATCTGTAAATATGCAGAAATCGTAAGAAATACCAAATCCTTTAAAAGCCATTTTACGACAGTTGTAAAATCCATCTGTCATGAAGGGGAGGCCAATCATCGGCACTGCGTTGCACAGCCCCTCGTAGAGGCCGCTAATGCCACAGTGAGTGATGAATGCCTTGGTGTTGGGATGTCCTAGCAGATCGTTTTGGGGCAGCCACGGCATCAGTAAGATATTACCATCCTCTTTTGTCTCGTTTCCATACCTAAGCACGAATTTTACATTTTTGAATTTCCTAAATACACTAATAAGTATTTCCATCCTAGATGCAGGGAGACTGTTGGCAATACTTCCAAACGAGGCTACAATGACTCCATTAGTTGCAGAATCCATGTAAGAATTCAGGTCAGATGGCAAGGGTTTGGGTTTCTCGGTTCCAACTCCTCCAACAAATGCTACATTGGGCATCAACGGTCTTGGAAAGTCCAGTACAAAGTCCATGTCGACAAGATGAAACGCCGTGCGTCTATGTAAGACTTCTAACGGCACAAACGGCTTTTCTGGAACATACGTCGCAACCAAATCGGTCGGGAAAACCACCTGAGGTGAAACAGCCATCACCACCGAAAAGAGCGTATTGACTACTCGTTGAATGAACGACATTTCGTCAAAGAAACCTAGGAGGGCGAAGGCAGGATGTACAGATGGCATAAACGGTATTCTTGTCCTGACAGGTATGTGCATGCCACCAAGCTGCACATAAGGGATTCCTAGTTTGTAGGCGAGAACTGTGAAGCAGTCCGCTATCATTACATTATCAATTAAAGCCAAATCAAAGTCCTGCTGTTGTAGAACTGTAAACAGAGCTTCGTCTGAGAGCAGAGCATGGCATACATTATTGACGATTGTTATACCTTTGAAATATGGCGACATCTTCCTATTACAAGCATCTTCTATGGAATCCTTTGCAATCCCATGTACGCTGAAATTTTTGTACACTGCTGGTACTATAACACTAGTAGTGCTGTCTTCCTTCACTTTATTTGCAAATTCTTTGCTTAGGATTAAAGTTGAATGGTGTCCATATTTATTTGCAAGTGATGTGGCTACGTTGAGTGTGGGTTTGACGTGGCTCCAAAGTGGAAACACCAATATCAATATATTTCCAGTCTCCACCGGAATCGGAAACATGATCGCTGTAAACGCTATACACAGACAAATACATCTGCACTCCATGACGAAAAACGCCTGAAATAAAAACATAATAATGTGATAATGTTATAACATTCTTGCCATAGGTAATTGATGAATATGAACTTAATTAGTTGCGTCGAACATCGTTTTATTTAAAGGGAAATAAATTGAAAATTGAAAACATAACGTTTTTATTGATGAGTATCATTTAGAGAAGAGAAACTTCAGAAATCAAAGTACCGAAAAATGATATAATGAACAAATAACTTAGTTTTGTACTGAAGTGTACACTATCAGAGACCTGTAAAATATTAAGTGCTCAAAAGAGATATGACCAATACAATCATGCTTGTTCCAACCGACAATAAATAGTTAAAATATGGGTTTGAGGAATATAGAAAGTTTCCGATATTAAATGGTGGGAAGATAGATATTTTATAAAGGTAGATAAGTATTTATTTTGGGATAAATATATATATTTTATTAAGTAAAGTAAGCTATTTTATGAGGGAGTAGGCACTTTAATAAGGTAGATCGATATGTTATGAAGGAAAGTTAAGTAATATTTTTGGGCGATAGGTATTTTATAATGGTAGATCAGTATTTGTTTAGGTGTAGGTAGCTTTTATTAAGATTCATTTTATGGGGTAAACAGGTATTGTATTATGGTATATCGGCATTTTATGAGGAGTAGGTAGGTATTTTATAGGGTAGATTGGTATTTTATAATGGTTATTCGGTATTTTATGAAGGATAGTAAGGTATTTGTTGAGGGGTTGTTAGGTATTCTTTGTAATATATAGGTATTTTATAACGGTTTATCGGTATTTTATTAAGAATAGGAAGGTATTTTTGAGTGATTGTTAGGTATTCTTTGAATAGATAGGTATTTTATAATGATAGATCGGTATTTTTCGAGGTATAGGTAACTTTTATTATGAGGGGTAGTTAGATATATTTTATAGGGTATTTAATGGATTGGTATTTCATAATGGCGTTCTTCCTTTTTGTATTCTTCGGGAAAGATAGGTATTTTATAATGGTAGATCGGTATTTAATGAAGTATAGGTAGGTATTTTACGAGGATATTAAGATATTTTATGTGGTAGATAGAATTTATATCATGGTTAATCGGTATTTTATGAGGGTAGTTAGATATTGTATGGGGTAGATAGAAAGTTTAACATGTATCTCATTGAAGTAGATCGTAATTTTACGAAGAATAGGTAGATATTTTATAAAGGTATTTAGATGTTTTATGGCGTAGGTAGAAATTATATCATGGTTTATCGGTATTTTATAAGGGTTAGGTAGGTATCATATGGGGTAGATATATATTTTATTCTGTTAGATCGGTGTTTCATGATAGTAGATTGATATTTTATGGGGCAGTAAGTATCTTATAATGGTTTATCGGTGTTTTATGAAGGGGGTAAATATTTAAGGGGGTAAATAGGTATTTTAAGAAGGTAATAGATATTTTATAGGGGTAAATCGGTAATTTATTGGATATATTTTTGCTGTAAGATAGGCATTTAATATGGTAAATCGACATTTTAGGAGGTGGTAGATTGATACTTTAAAGAGGTTGATAGGTATTTTAAAGGGGCAAAAAGTTATTTTAGGGGGAAGGATAGATATGTATTTGATTTGGGATAGATAGTCATTTTAGGGGGAATAGAAAGGTATTTCATGGGGGTAGACAGACATTTAGCGGGAATAGACGGGTATTTAGTTGGGGTAGATAGACATTTTAAGGGGGAAAGATGTGTATTTCATAGGAGTAGATAAACACTTTAGGGGGAAAAGATACGTATTGTATGGGGCTAGATAGACACTTAAGGGGGAATATATAGGTATTTCATGGTGTTAGATAGACACTTAGGGGCGATTGATGAATAGGAAATGAGAGTTCTATGCCACCCCATTCCTCCTTTTATATTTGTTGTAAATCCCTTTATGTCGGGATGGATCAGTGAGGGATGAGTGAGGGATGAGGGATCAATATACCTGAGACCTGAGAGGTGACGGACCGACCCCTTTTCACCATAGCTCAGTTGATAATCTCCATCCGAAATTGGGATTGTTGACGCTTTGCCTTGCGTTAAGTGTCTATTTTTAAGACAACCGGTTATGGCATGTATATATAAAACTGTGAAAAGCATATTATTGATTCATTCTTCGAGCATGGAATGGAAAAAACACTTAGTTCAGATTCACTTGGATTTGAATAACCCTATTAGCAATGCCGATCCTGGAAAAATATTTACGCCTATAGTTTGCAACGCCCTCATCGATACAAGTTTAAAGCCAGGAAAGTGATCTCTCAAGGTATCGATACTCTTTGGGACGTCAAATTAAGAAGACGTATCAAATAGGAAAACGATTGAATGTGGTTCTTATTTGTCGCCAAGTGTTCACTCGACATCTACTGGTCTTTCCATTACAGAACAAATTTCACGGCACTATTAAAGACGGGTTCAAGAATATGTTCAGGTTCGGCAGGAAGCCAAAAGAGGTTCGTTCGGATCCCGGCTGCAAATGGAAAAATAAATGGGTGAATGCCTTCGTTGGCCAGGGAGACGTGGCTCATTACGTCACGCATAACGTCATTCACGATAATTATGCCGAAAGTGTTATATTGTAGTTGTATTGTGTCAGCTGCTATCGACCATCGTAGAATACACTTTTCAACCATCAGTACAATGTCGATATCGTCTATGAGCTTAAGTGCTATCCCGGACATTTTTGACATGGCTTCCCACGAAAAGCCGAGAGCTGAGTAGAAAGGGTAATAGTCTAGACTGATTGATCTTAAGTTCTCAAAGACATTAGCTTACAGTAAGACGTCCATCTTTAAGTAAATCGTCAAAGTAAGTCATGTAGAATATGTGCAAGACCGATTTCGCGTGTTTATAGTCTGTGTCGGACATATCAGGTTCTGTTAGTTTATTATAAAACCGATCTATTCCGGGCAAACTTTTCTCTTCGAATTTTTTACCGGTGATGTCGCGTAATCGTACGGATACATCCACTTTCGAAAAGGAAGTTTGAGATGTTCTTCTATGGGGAAGTGCTTTGACAAATTTGGGAATGTATCTCCACCTTCTACTGCCAAATTTGACATTATAGTACCAGCTGGGCAATCAGAAATTGTAAGGAATCGATGAATCTCAAATTCCCTAGCGAGAATGACATGTATATCTATATTGTTTGGTATACAAGACATGGGTTTCGATTTACATTTCCTCGCTGATTCCATCAACAGATGCATATCATAGCCACGTAAGTTGTAAAAAATACACGGGGATGTAAATTTTGATCCCTGCGATCTATTGCCCTGTCGAAACTGAAACTGGATGTTGCAGTGGCTGTGACTGAAAGTGGTCATGGTTGAGAACCCTGTCGTCCCCCAATTCTTTTTCACAAATGTGACATGCCGTAGCTTTTTGAAAGGAAGACTCTTCATGGGTCAAGTTCATGGGTTTCACATTTATTCTAAAGTTTTACATAAGGTTTCCTCTTCTTGGATTAGTTGTTCTAAATAAAATATCAACTATATCAGGACCTCTGTAAACCCGAGCGGATTTCGAGAGTCCATCTGATGAAAACTTAACCATATAGGAAAAGCCGGAAGTTCGTGTTTTGATACCGAGTTGTGGATGGTATGTCTGTGTCAGCTTCACATGCGCTAATGGGTCGGAGAAAACTTTTCGGCATAAATTACAAAAGGGACGTTGAGCTGTTTATGAATTTGATTAAATTTGACCCATTTTCGGAAAACGCAGCTTCTGTGGACCGTGATGGGAACAATACGGTGCATGTTCATCCAACAGTTGTTTGGTTGTGTAACCATGGTGACAATGCTTACAATAATAAATGTCTGTTTTCCCCTTTAGAGAACAAGCGAAGGTCCACATGTCTACTTGCACCGCGTAAATATGTAACATGCAAAGGATACACTTGTCCCCTCTTCTATTCTAACACATTAATGGATTTGTTATTTGGTTTTCAAATTTGATACTTGATGGCACAAAGGGACTTGGAAATCAATACCATTTAAATATCCAACTCGCGTTCACACTGAGTATAATTTGTCACGCGTTGTCGATGACTCTGCTACCCTCTAGCTGGTGTTGACCTTTAGTTTTAGTATTTTGTCAATCGTGCACCCGCTCCCATTCCACTCCAAATTTTGATATGCATTTTGCAAACTGGGATACGTTCATACCTTTGACATTTTGGAGTCATTCTATCAGAATGTTTTTAATTGGTGTTTTATCATCTCTAAAAAATGGTAGCACGTCCCACAGGTTGAAAGGATTTGAATGCAATGAGCTGTTCCGTCGAATGCCTCAATCCCCCTCCTCACTAATGACAGTTTATCCATTTTTCCCGGCGATGAAGACACGTATCACAGACATCTGTCCTGCTTCTGTATAAACGTCTGGTAGGGGTCGGTGACACCAGTTACACTCCCTGCCTTGTTCTCCATCACCAAAGGGCAGTATTTTTACTTTCGTTTCCGGGCGTTATGTCAACGCCATTAAAACATTTCAAAGAATAATGAAATTAATGAAAAACCTTACCTGTGCAACATTCCTGAAGTTTCCGAGTATTCACTTTTATCGAGAAAAATGTAAGAAAATACGTCAAACCTCCATAATAATGCCATATATTGTAACTGAATAAATCATAACTGAGCACAAAGCCAACAAGGTTGACTGAGGTTGGAAAAAAACATGTAAAGCAAGTGAGATTTTACCTGTATACCATTCAAAACACTCAGGTGATATGGCTTGCCTAGTATCAATAGCCTTGTTAGCTTCATGAATTATTGTTAAATATCAAATGAAAATACATGCAATCATTCTAACGATTTGAGGCATTTCTTCAATTTTTCTCGATAATTGTGAAAACACAGATACTTCAAGAATGCATGTACAGGTAAGTTTTTTCATGAATTATAATATTCAGTACAATTTTGCGCCACTTAAATTCTGATTTAAAAAATTGAAAAGGGTGTGTCTACCTTTGACCAATGCAATAATTTACCAGAATTCTGGTAATCCTTGTTCTGACGTAACAAAACTATATCATATACTTTGACCAGACTCTCTCTCTCTTCGGCGTAGCTTGCCCAGACAACAAGAGTCTGATTGAACGAGACTATTCCTGCTCAGGTAATCTGGCTTGACTTGTATCAATAGCCTTGTTAGCTTCATGAACTATTATAAATAATCCAATGAAAATACATGAAATCATTCTTGAAATTTGAAGCATTTTCTTCGATAATAGTGAAAACACGGATACTTCAGGAATGCATGTACAGCTAAGTTTTTTTATGAATTAAAATATTCAATGTAATTTTACGCCACTCAAATTCTGACTTCAAAACTTGAAAAGGGCGTGTCTAGCTTTGACAAATGAAATCATTTACCAGAAGTCAAGCCAGATTACTTGAGTGAGAACCTGTAGTGTTTTGAATGGTGTACAGGTAAAATCTCGCTCGTTTTGCACGCTTTTTTCAACCTCAGTCAGCCTTGTTGGCTTTGTGCTCAGTTATGATTTATTCAGTGGAAGTATATGCCATTATTCTGGAGATTCGAAACATTTTCTTACATTTTTCTCGATGATAGTGAATAAACGGATATTTCAGTAATGCATGTACAGGTTAGTTTTTTCATTAATTTCATTATTCTTAAAAATGTTTAAACGGCGTCGATATAAAGTCTGGAAACGAAAGTAAAAACACTGCCCTCTGGTGATGGTAATTCCTGAGTACTGTTTTTGATCAGACTCTTTAATTACAAGTGAGCAAGCGTCTGGTTGAACGAGACTAATATATATGTAGAAATGTTTCCTCTTCTGACTTTGTATACAATTCTAAAGGATAGAAAAACGACGAGTGTACGTTGCCGGCCGACGATGAGTGTCTTACTGCTGTTATTAAGGAAAGAGGTCAGTCCATCATCCCTCATTGGTCCCTCACTGATCCATCCTAACAGAGAGGGATTTGCTATAAATATAGATAGACATTTTAGGGGGGATATATAGGTATTTGATGGGGGTAAATAGATACTTCAGGGGGAATAGATAGGTATTTTAGGGGGTATATAGACATTTATATGAGGATAAATGGGTATCTAATGGTTTATAAGGGGTGCTATATATTTTAGGGGGATAGATGGGTATTTCATGGGGACAGATAGAAAGATATTAAAGAGGGCTAGATAGACATTTTAGAGGATACATTGATATTTTAATGGGGTAGATAGACATATAAGCGGGATTAAATAGACATTTTATGGGGGTAGATAGACGGGGATAGATGGTTATTATTGGGGAGGGGGGTAGACATTATAGGGGGATAGGGTTTATTGTGAGTAGATAAACATTTAGTGGGATAGACAGGTATTTTAGTGCTGTTTATCGATATTTTAGGGTGCATAGATGGGAATTTTATGAGGGAAGGGAGTTATTTAAGACGGATAGATAATTTTTTAAAAGGGATAGAGACTTCAGGGGGGGGGATGTATTTTATGGTTGTAGATAGACATTTTAAGGGGGTAGAAAGGTAAATTGTCTAGAGGAGGGGGGGGGGGGGTAGAAACTGTTTGCGCAAGGCTAATATTTCGCGATTGTCCCGATAGCAATCCGTTCGAGAGGATCAGATTTCGATGAATATGCAATATTGCATGGTAAAAACATCACGCTTAGGTGGGTACTTCTTGCTTTTGCTGATGGCATTTAAGCTTTGTCCATATATAGTAAAATGTGATATTGAATTATTTTATCTTCATTATTCAACAATTAACGTGTAACACTGAAAACCTGTCAAAATTGTACCAATTGTGGTAGCGTGACGTTAAACAGGTTTTTTTTTGTCTTTTCCGTCTGTATGCTGGTATTACGTTTTGCTGGGTATCTAATTGCATGCTATCTAGACCGCAATCTTCTAGACACCCGAGTATAAACGCAATATGGGTAGACAAAAACGTAACATGCATGCGCACAATAGAAGCCAAGACACAAAAACAGCAGAAAACACGAGGATTTTGTTACAAAGAATGGCAAAATATATAACCAGGTGAAGAGAGACACCGTTGCTGCTCTACACTTACCTATGTTACAAGCATTAGTGACGTAAAATCGGTGTCCTGCTTGAGTACACACCTTTAGCTTTGATGGTTTGTATATATCGGGTTATGTCGGGCTACTTTTCATGTATTAAACATGGATTGTAGGGTGTTCGCTAAGAAACGGAGATCATGTCCGCGGAAGGAGATCAATTTTGATGGCATATCGGAGATTTCTGAAGGAATACAAATGTATCCATCTGTTTATCGGTACCATCCTTCTTTTTTATTACATAAAATTGAAATATAGTTTTCGATTTTTCGACACCGAAAGCTTTTCTCCTATATATCATCATGGGGATGGCATTTTTATCATTTTTTTTTTATCTATACCGGATGTACTTACCTTGCTGGAAGATTCTGTTGATTGTTGAGATCGTGGATGTCTGCCTACCGGAGAGCTGAAAAATCACAAATACGTGTGTGCTGGCAAACTACTCGCAGGTAGTTATATATTACGTATCAGCAATATGAGATAGTGGTTGTTTTAAAATACGAAACGGTTGTAGAAAAGATACAGAATGCATTGATAATTCATACGAAACGCATAATCCCCATTTCTTATCAACATTCTTGTTTTTCGAAAATTTTAATATACTTTAAATCACCATTCATTTAGCCTGATAACCAGATGACCAGTAACCTTACTGTAGAGTTATCTTTGAGCATGATCTACACTAGTCCACAAAACTTATACTCAAAGTCCTTGAACGTTTACATAAAAAGCAAGTACCGTGTAGCAGTATAATTAAAAATGTAAAAAAAAGAACTTTGAATACTAAACAAAGAACTGAATTCTTGAATTGTTTCTATTTGATCTCTTTAAAACTGAACTATTGAAAACAGTTGACATCAAAATTAATTTACACAGTTGTATATGCACATATTTAACAACGCACGTACTCCTTGATGTATGCAGATGGTCTCGGGTCGTGCTTGCCAGGTTCCTTCGCTGCAGTTTTCGAAACGGATAGTGGTTGCTTTGCTTGCGATATATTTTATCCATCAGACGCATGAGCTATCACAATATCACAATGCTTGTTAGTAGTGGAGAAAGTGTCGCCTCAGGGACACTTTTCTCTGTTGGATTTGCATGGGAGTATGTTACCCACCTCGTGTGTTGGTGACATAATTATGTGAGGGTAACATATGACATCACATTTGTTGCTAAATATAGATTTTTTTATTGTTTTGGTTTTCCGATGTACTGATACTGTTAAAGACAAGAGTCTAATGGGCCTGCATCGCTCACCTGGTATTAATCTCACACTTCTAATCTTAAAAGTGATCTTAAATCAAGCTACTGGCAAAATATCAGTATTTATGACTATAAGTCATTCATAAGAACCCGATAAAAAGATTTAAAAATATTTCACTCCTGTGACCTTGAAAGTCGAATAAGGTCAATACGTTGAACAAATCGTATAGCCTTTCATCTCAGGATGCAACTTGCAAAGTATCACGATCCTATCCTATGGTTTATCGAGATTAGGTCATTTAAATGTTTATACATATTTGACCAAATGTGACTTTGAGAGTGGGTCAAGGTTATTCAAATAAAAAAGCTTGATAACATATTTTTACCCCCGTGACCTTAAATATAAGTTAAGGTCATTCATTTAAACAAACTTGGTAGCCCTTCATCCCAGCAGGCTACTGACCAAATATCATCACCCTGGACGTTTTGCGTTTTTAGATAATTGACTCCTGTGACCTTGAATTAGAGTGAAGGTCATTCATTTGAACAAATTTGGTAGCCCTTCATTCCAATTTGCTACTGGTCAAATATCACCCTGGGTATTTTGGTTATTCAGAAGTTGTTTAAAGTTTATAACATATTTGACCCCCTGTGACCTTGAATACGGATGAAGGTAATTTATTTGAACAAACTTGATAGCCCTTTATCCAAGCATGCTACTTACCAAATATCATCACCCTTGTCATTTTGGTTATTAAGAGGAAATTGTTCAAAGTTTTTAATATATTTGACCCCTGTGACCTTGAATATAGGTGAAGATCATTTATTTGAACAAACTTGGTAGCCCTTCATCCTATTTTGCTTCTGGCCAGCTATCATTACCCTAGGCCTTTTGGTTTTTAAGAAGAAGTTGTTTAAAGTAAAATATTGACGACGGAAGACGGACGCCGCACCACGGCATAAGCTCACTTGGCCCTTCGGGCCAGGTGAGCTAAAAAACGATAAGACAGGTTACCCGATGACGGTTTTTTAGCTCACTTGGCCCTTCGGGCCAGGTGAGCTAAAAAACGATAAGACAGGTTACCCGATGACGTCACGGCAAATACCATTTAGGAATATTGTTCGGAGACAATATATCAAAGAAATATATCGTCTTCAATTTAAATGGCTATTGTTATCAAATTGAATGAGGTATTGAATTGAAGGCACGTGTGACCACATATGTTCAGAGGTCAATGTCCTTGCTGGGGAATTCCAGGTGCTTAACATTGTTTGACCTACTGAGGCCTTTATGACCATGACAGGAATAGACTTGTATTTAATGGAGAGGTGCATGCTAGGACAGGTATTCCGAGATCAATGTCAATTATAATACAAGGTATTGTATATAGTTTAAAGGGTGATAGACCCTTTTTTAAATCCTTTAATGGCATTGCAATGCTCGGGTGGAACGTTATTGTGTATCAGAACGAACAAAACACCAGGTACCCGTTTAGACCTAAATTCATCGTACGTATTGCTATATATCCATCTCATTTGTTAACAAGAACGGGATACGCACATGTATCCACACAGCCAATGATGTACACAGTGGTGTGCTTATTCATGCGGTAAGACACTGTATACAATACATTGTGTACCAAAAGACGTAATGAAAACTTTGTTGCTTTAATGTATCATATAATGAAGATCAAAAGAAACGATGTGTACATGTATTCATTGGAGCTTATTGTTGCCGTCGTTATAGGTAACAAACAGGTTTTGTGATGACAAAGCAGAATACATAATATCCAAACATGTACAATACACAGTCATTATATAATACATGCTATATTAATCTGAATTCCAGGCTAAAATACACTAATATAGTTTTCAACAAGTCACTGGTGTATATTGTTGATAAATAATAACAAATAATATATTAGATAATCATGTTTTCCCCAATTTTAGAAAAGGCCTCAAACTGTATGGGATGGGATGACTCGTGTTCGCAACGAATGACAGAGACATTAAATGGCTTTATATACATATGACTTGGGTGCTGTATTTATATTGGAGATGTCATGCTTTAAACATGTTACCCGTAATGCAAAAGGAAGGGTATAAATAGCCGACAAAACTGTATACAATCATGATTGAGACGCCACACAAATGGAAAATGAGGAGAAGCAGCCCTTCAATTGACAAATATTAACGACTGGAGAAAGATATAATAATTGGAGGCAAAGCACAACGGATGTCGGTCTCATATGTACGAGGTTTCCCGCGAAATGCACCACCATTTTGACTACTGATGATGTACGTCTTCGGGTCAATTATTTCCTTTACGGTCCCATATATCCATTTTTCTCCATCAATATATTTGAAAAGTAATTTATCTGACGCTTAGTTCGGAATGCGAACGCGATTTCTATCAAATGTCCGCGTTACGGCTCTCTTACGCACTTCACGTTTCACATGGTACTCGGTCTTAGTCAGTTGATTCACATAAGATACACTGACGACACTAAGAATCAAACAACGAGTTTTCCTCCCAAATATCAACTGAGTTGCACTTACGCCCGTGTCCAGAGGCGATTATTACTTTGCTTTAGTATGGCTGGTTGGTCTTCGTCATCATAAAGAAAGAGTTTTACGAAGAAGAGTTTTCATGACATTGACTGCTGGCTCGGCTTTCTTGTTCGCCTGTTGGTTCATTGTGGGAAGATGTTACGTGAGTAATTTCCCTTCGATGAACCAAATTGTGAAAATCCTGACTGGTAAATAGCGGACCTCCGTCCGACACTATCATGTTGATATGCCGTAACGTGTACAATGCTTTTTCAACGGGGAGATGACGCGAGCTCTTGTCGCAGAAGCGAGTAAATCACACTCGATTAGATTGGAGTGGTAGTTCATAGATATCAGAAAGACCTTCCACGTGATGAGGACAAATCAAAATCGATTTCTTCCACGGCTGATCTCATTCCCTGTGTTGTGTAAGCGGTTTCATTTCTTGGCAAATTTTACACGTGCTTGCTAGTTGATTGGCGCGTTGGCAAGAATAAAGTCCCGCCTACTCATATTTGATTATAATTACGTTCATTAGCAATTGACCCTTGCGTAAATCAAAATTTGGAAAAGCATCATAGTAGTTATATGCACTATTTCGAGTATAGATGTGTGTGGTTTTGAACTGTGTAAGACTGAAAATCATTTTTTGAAACAAATATGTGTACCTTAGTCGGACATTGCACGCCTAGGTATTCAATCAACTTTGATTTTTGATCTGCAGCAACATCTACAGCAAGCTCTGATCGACCTCACACAGCACCAAATAATCAGAAACGTCACCAAAGTTATAAACAGCAAGACGTCCAGAAGGTAATATTTATATAAAGGCATGTCAGTCGCCGGTGTTTGGAGGTAGTCGCCACCATGTTGGATCACGTGATCAATCCAGTACGCAGAACGTTCACTGGGCGTTCCCTGTTGACCATGGAAAATGTTTGACGCTTTTTTAATTTTCACGCCATATTTGGGATTATCAAGAATTTCCTGTATGGCATTCGATAATTCAAAATCTGTAAATTTGCAGAAATCGTAAGAAATACCAAATCCTTTAAAAACCATTTTACGACAGTTGTAAAATCCATCTGTCAAGAAGGGGAGGCCAATCATCGGCACTGCGTTGTACAGCCCCTCATAGAGGCCGCCACTGCCACAGTGAGTGATGAACGCCTTGGTGTTGGGATGTCCTAGCAGATCGTTTTGGGGCAGCCACGGCATCAGTAAGATATTACCATCCTCTTTTGTCTCGTTTTCATACCTTAGCACGAATTTTACATTTTTGAATTTCTTAAATACACTAATAAGTATTTCCATCCTAGATGCAGGGAGACTGTTGGCAATACTCCCAAACGAGGCTACAATGACTCCATTAGTTGCAGAATCCATGTAAGAATTCAGGTCAGATGGCAAGGGTTTGGGTTTCTCGGTTCCAACTCCTCCAACAAATGCTACATTGGGCATCAACGGTCTTGGAAAGTCCAGTACAAAGTCCATGTCGACAAGATGAAACGCCGTGCGTCTATGTAAGACCTCTAACGGCACAAATGGCTTTTCTGGAACATACGTCGCAACCAAATCGGTCGGGAAAATCACCTGAGGTGAAACAGCCATCACCACCGAAAAGAGTGTATTGACTACTCGTTGAATGAACGACATTTCGTCAAGGAAACCAAGGAGAGCGAAGGCAGGATGCACAGATGGCATAAACGGTATTCTTGTCCTGACAGGTGTGTGCATGACACCAAGCTGCACATAAGGGATTCCTAGTTTGTAGGCGAGAACTGTGAAGCAGTCCGCTATCATTACATTATCAATATAAGCCAAATCAAAGTTCTGCTGTTGTAAAACTTTAAACAGAGCTTCGTCTGAGAGCAGAGCATGGCATACATTATTGACGATAGTTATAAATTTGAAATATGGCGGCATCTTATTACATGCATCATCTATGGAATCCTTTGCAACTACGCTGAAATTTTTGTACGCTTCTGGTACTATAACACTAGTAGTGTTGTCTTCCTTCACTTTATTTGCAAATTCTTTGCTTAGGATAAAAGTTGAATGGTGTCCATATTTATTTGCAAGTGATGTGGCTACAGTGAGTGTGGGTTTGACGTGGCTCCAAAGTGGAAGCACCAATATCAATATATTTCCAGTCTCCACCGGAATCGGAAACATGATCGCTGTAAACGCTATACACACACAAATACATCTGCACTCCATGACGAAATACGCCTGAAATATAAACATATTAATGTGATAGTGTTATAACATTCTTGCCATAGGTAATTGATGAATATGAACTTAATTAGTTGCGTCGAACATCGTTTTATTTAAAGGGAAATAAATTGGAAATTGGAAACATAACGTTTTTATTGATGAGTATCATTTAGAGTAGAGAAACTTCAGAAATCAAAGTACCGAAAAATAATACAATGAACAAATAACTTAGTTTTGTACTGAAGTGTACACTATCAGAGACCTGTAAAATATTAAGTGCTCAAAAGTGATATGACCAATACAATCATGCATGTTCCAACCGACAATAAATAGTTGAAATATGGGCTTGAGGAATATAGAAAGTTTCCGGTATTTTATGGTGGGAAGATAGATATTTTATGAAGGTAGATAAGTATTTATTTTGGGATAAATATATATATTTTATTAAGTAAAGTAAGCTATTTTATGAGGGAGTAGGCACTTTATAAAGGTAGATCGATATGTTATGAAGGAAAGTTAGGTATTTTTTGGGCGATAGGTATTTTATAATGGTAGATCAGTATTTGTTTAGGTATAGGTAACTTTTATTATGATTCATTTTATGGGGTAAAGAGGTATTATATTATGGTATATCGGCATTTTATGAAGAGTAGGTAGGTATTTTATAGAGTAGATTGGTATTTTATAATGGTTATTCGGTATTTTATGAAGGATAGTAAGGTATTTGTTAAGGGGTTGTTAGGTATTCTTTGTTATATATAGGTATTTTATAACGGTATATCGGTATTTTATGAAGAATAGGAAGGTATTTTTGAGTGATTGTTAGGTATTCTTTGAATAGATAGGTATTTTATAATGATAGATCGGTATTTTTTCGAGGTATAGGTAACTTTTATTATGAGGGGTAGTTAGATATATTTTATAGGGTATTTAATGGATTGGTATTTTATAATAGGCGTTCGTTCTTTTTGTATTCTTCGGGAAAGATAGGTATTTTATAATGGTAGATCGGTATTTAATGAAGTATAGGTAGGTATTTTACGAGGATATTAAGATATTTTATGTGGTAGATAGAATTTATATCATGGTTAATCGGTATTTTATGAGGGTAGTTAGATATTGTATGGGGTAGATAGAAAGTTTAATATGTATCTCATTAAAGTAGATCGTAATTTTACGAAGAATAGGTAGATATTTTATAAAGGTATTTAGATGTTTTATGGCGTTGGTAGAAATTATATCATGGTTTATCGGTATTTTATAAGTGTTAGGTAGGTATTATATGGGGTAGATATATATTTTATTCTGGAAGATCGGTGCTTCATGATAGTAGATTGATATTTTATGGGGCAATAAGTATCTTATAATGGTTTATCGGTGTTTTATGAAGGGTTCATGTAGGAATTTTAAGGGGGTAAATAGGTATTTTAAGAAGGTAATAGATATTTTATAGGGGTTAATCGGTTATTTATTGGATATATTTTTGCTGTAAGATAGGCATTTAATATGGTAAATCGACATTTTAGGAGGTGGTAGATTGATACTTTGAAGAGGTTGATAGGTATTTTAAAGGGGCAAAAAGTTATTTTAGGGGGAAGGAAAGATATTATTTGATTTGGGATAGATTGTCATTTTAGGGGGAATAGAAAGGTATTTAACTGAGCACAAAGCCAACAAGGCTGACTGAGGGTGGAAAAAAACATGTAAAGCAAGTGAGATTTTACCTGTACACCATTCAAAACACTCAGGTAATCTGGCTTGCCTAGTATCAATAGCCTTGTTAGCTTCATGAATTATTGTAAAATATCAAATGAAAAGATTTGAGGCATTTCTTACATTTTTCTCGATAATTGTGAAAACACAGATACTTCAAGAATGCATGTACAGGTAAGTTTTTTCATGAATTATAATATTCAGTGCAATTTTGCGCCACTTAAATTCTGATTTTAAAAGTTGAAAAGGGTGTGTCTACCTTTGACCAATGCAATAATTTACCAGAATTCTGGTAATCCTTGTTCTGACGTAACAAAACTATATCGTAGACTTTGACCAGACTCTCTCTCTTCGGCGTAGCTTGCGCAGACAACAAGAGTCTGATTGAACGAGAGTATTCATATATAAGAAAACACTACAGGTTCTTGCTCAGGCAATCTGGCTTGACTTGTATCAATAGCCTTGTTAGCGTCATGAACTATTGTAAATTATCCAATGAAAATACATGAAATCATTCTTGAAATTTGAAGCATTTTCTTCGATAATAGTGAAAACACGGATACCTCAGGAATGCATGTACAACTAAGTTTTTTTATGAATTAAAATATTCAATGTAATTTTACGCCACTTAAATTCTGACTTCAAAACTTGAAAAGGGCGTGTCTAGCTTTGACCAATGAAATCATTTACCAGAGATCAAGCCAGATTACTTGAGTGAGAACCTTTAGTGTTTTGAATGGTGTACAGGTAAAATCTCGCTCGTTTTGCACGCTTTTTTCAACCTCAGTCAGTCTTGTTGGCTTTGTGCTCAGTTATGATTTATTCAGTGGAAGTATATGCCATTATTCTGGAGATTCGAAACATTTTCTTACATTTTTCTCGATGATAGTGAATAAACAGATATTTCAGTAATGCATGTACAGGTTAGTTTTTTCATTAATTTCATTATTCTTTAAAATGTTTAAACGGCGTCGACATAAAGTCTGGAAACGAAAGTAAAAACACTGCCCTCTGGTGATGGTAATTTCTGAGTATTGTTTTTGATCAGAATCTTGAATTACAAGTGATCAAGCGTCTGGTTGAACGAAACTACGGCGTAGTTTGCGCAGACATTAAGAGTCTGGTTGAACGAGACTATGTTTGAGCAGACTTTTTAATTACAAGTGAGCACGCGTCTGGTTGAACGAGACTCATATATATGTAGAAATGTTTCCTCTTCTGACTGTGTATACAATTTTAAAGGATAGAAAAACGACGCGTGTACGTTGGAGGTCCGACGATGAGTGTCTTACTGCTGTTTTGTGGGCTTTACATAAGACACCCGTAGAAGAGGTCCGAACCAGTTGCGTTAAAAAAGACTTCGCGCAAGGCAGTCCCTCAATGATCCCTATCTCGTGTGGAGGAGGGGAAACCTATATTTGTCAACTGATCTATTAAGGAAAGAGGTCAGTCCATCATCCCTCATTGGTCCCTCACTGATCCATCCTAACAGAGAGGGATTTACTATAAATATAGATAGACATTTTAGGGGGGATAGATAGGTATTTGATGGGGGTAAATAGATAACTTTAGGGGGAATAGATAGGTATTTTAGGGGGTATATAGACATTTATAGGAGGATAAATGGGTATCTAATGTGAATAGATAGATACTTTAGGGTGGTAGATAGGTATTTTATAAGGGGTGCTATATATTTTAGGGGGATAGATGGGTATTTCATGGGGACAGATAGATAGATATGAAAGGGGGCTAGATAGACATTTTAGAGGATACATTGGTATTTTATGGTAGAGTAGAGACATTAAAGCGGGATTAAATAGACATTTTATGGGGGTAGATAGACATATAAGCAGGGATAGATGGTTATTTTTGGGGAGTGGGGTAGACATTTTAGGGGGATAGATTTTTTTGTGAGTAGATAAACATTTTAGTGGGATAGACAGGTATTTTAGTGGTGTTTATAGATATTTTAGGGTGCATAGATGGGTATTTTATGTGGGGAGGGAGTCATTTAAGACGGATAGATACATTTATAATAGGGATAGACACTTCAGGGGGAAAATGTGTATTTTATGGTTGTAGATAGACATTTTAAGGGGGAGAAGGGTATTTTATATGGTGGTAAATTTTCTAGGGGGGGGGGGTAGAAACTGTTTGCGCAAGGCTAATATTTGGCGGTTGTCCCGATAGGAATCCGTTCGAGAGGATCAGATTTCGATGTTCATTGCATGGTAAAAACATCACGTTTAGGTGGGTACTTCTTGCTTATGGTGATGGCATTTAAGTTTTGTCCAAATAAAGTAAAATGTGATATTAAATTATTTTATCTTCATTATTCAACAATTAACGAGTAACACTGAAAACCTGTCAAAATTGTACCAATTGTGGTAGCGTGACGTTAAACAGGTTTTTTTTGTCTTTTCCGTATGTATGCTGGTATTACGTTTTGCTGGGTATCTAATTGCATGCTATCTAGACCGCAATCTTCTAGACACCCGAGTGTAAACGCAATATGGGTAGACAAAAACATAATATGCAGGCGCACAATAAAAGACAAGACATAGAAACAGCAGAAAACACGAGGATTTTGTTACAAAGAATGGCAAAAAATATAACCAGGTGTAGAGAGACACCGCTGCTGCTCTACACTTACCTATGTTACAAGCAGTATTGACGTAACATCGGTGTCCTGCTTGAGTACACACCTTTAGCTTTGATGGTTTGTATATATCGGGTTATGTCGGGCTACTGTTCATGTATTAAACATGGATTGTAGGGTGTTCGCTAAGAAACGGAGATCATGTCCGCGGAAGGAGAATCAATTTTAATGGCATATCAGATATTCCTGAAGGAATACAAATTTATCCATCGGTTTATCGGTACCAACCCTCTTTTTTATTACATAAAATTGAAATATAGTTTGTTATGATAGGACGTTAGGTGGGTTCGATTTTTCGACACCGAAAGCTTTTCTCCTATATATCATCATTGGGATGACATTTTTATCAAAACGTTTATCTATATCGGATGTACTTACCTTTGCTGGAAGATTCTGTTGATTGTTGAGTTCGTGGACGTCTGCCTACCGGAGAGCTGAAAAATCACAAATACGTGTGTGCTGGCAAACTACTCACAGGTAGTCATATATTAAGTATCAGCAATATGAGATAGTGGTTGTTTTAAAATACGAAACGGTTGTAGAAAAGATACAGAATGCATTGATAATTCATACGAAACGCATAATCACCATTTCTTATCAACATTCTTGTTTTTCGACAATTTGAACATATTTTAAATCACCATTCATTTAGCCGGATAATCAAATGACCTGTAACCTTACTTTAGAGTTATCTTTGAGCATGATCTACACTAGTCCACAAAACTTATACTCAAAGTCCTTGAACTTTTACATACAAAGCAAGTAACGTGTAGCAGTATAATTAAAAATGTAAAAAAAAGAACTTTGAATACTAAACAAAGAACTGAATTACTTGAATTGTTTCTATTTGATCTCTTTAAAACTGAACTATTGAAAACAGTTGACATCAAAATTAATTCACACAGTTGTATATGCACATATTTAACAACGCACGTACTCCTTGATGTATGCAGATGGTCTCGGGTCGTGCTTGCCAGCTTCCTTCGCTGCAGTTTTCGAAACGGATAGTGGTTGCTTTGCTTGCGATATACTTTATCCATCAGATGCATGAGCTATCACAATATCACAATGCTTGTTAGTAGTGGAGAAAGTGTCGCCTCAGGGACACTTTCCTCTATTGGATTTGCATGGGAGTATGTTACCCACCTCGTGTGAGGGTAACATAATTATGTGAGGGTAACATATGATATCACATTTGTTGCTAAATATAGATTTTTTTTATTGTTTTGGTTTTCCGATGTTCTGATACTGTTTTAAAGACAAGAGTCTAATGGGCCTGCATCGCTCACCTGTTATCAATCTCACACTTCTAATCTTAAAAGTGATCTTAAATCAAGCTACTGGCAAAAATATCAGTATTTATGACTATAAGTCATTCATAAGAACTTGATAAAAAGATTTAAAAAATATTTCACTCCTGTGACCTTGAAAGCCGAAAATGGTCAATACGTTGAACAAATCGTATAGCCTTTCATCTCAGGATGCAACTTGCAAAGTATCACGATCCTATCCTATGGTTTATCGAGATTAGGTCATTTAAATGTTTATACATATTTGACCAAATGTGACCTTGAGAGTGGGTCAAGGTTATTCAAATAAAAAACAGGCTACAGACCAAATATCATCACCCTGGACGTTTTGCGTTTTGGTTATTCAGAAGAAGTTGTTTAAAGTTTTCAGATAATTGACTCCTGTGACCTTGAATTAGAGTGAAGGTCATTCATTTGAACAAATTTGGTAGCCCTTCATTCCAATTTGCTACTGGTCAAATATTATCGCCCTGGGTATTTTGGTTATTCAGAAGTTGTTTAAAGTTTTTAACATATTTGACCCCTATGACCTTGAATACGGATGAAGGTCATTTATTTGAACAAACTTGATAGCCCTTTATCCAAGCATGCTACTTACCAAATATCATCACCCTGGGCATTTTGGTTATTAAGAAGAAATTGTTTAAAGTTTTTAATATATTTGACCCCTGTGACCTTGAATATTGGTGAAGGTCATTTATTTGAACAAACTTGGTAGCCCTTCATCCTATTTTGCTTCTGGCCAACTATCATTACCCTAGGCCTTTTGGTTTTTAAGAAGAAGTTGTTTAAAGTAAAATATTGACGACGGAAGACGGACGCCGCACCACGGCATAAGCTCACTTGGCCCTTCGGGCCAGGTGAGCTAAAAAAAACGATAAGACAGGTTACCCGATGACGTCACAGCAAATACCATTTAGGGATATTGTTCGGAGACACTTTATCAGAGGAATACATCTTCTTCAATTTAAATGGCTATTGTTATCAAATTGATTGGGGTATTGAATTGGAGGCACATGTGACCACATATGTTCAGAGGTCAATGTCCTTGCTGGGGAATTCCAGGTGCTTAACATTGTTTGACCTACTGAAGCCTTTATGACCATGACAGGAATAAACTTGTATTTAATGGAGAGGTGCATGCTAGGACAGGCATTCCGAGATCAATGTCAATTATAATACAAGGTATTATATATAGTTTAAAGGGTGATAGACCCTTTTTTAAATCCTTTAATGGCATTGCAATGCTCGGGTGGAACGTTATTGTGTATCAGAACGAACAAAACACCAGGTACCCGTTTAGACCTAAATTCATCGTACGTATTGCTATATATCCATCTCATTTGTTAACAAGAACGGGATACGCACATGTATCCACACAGCCAATAATGTACACAGTGGTGTGCTTATTCATGCGGTAAGACACTGTATACAATACATTGTGTACCAAAAGACGTAATGAAAACTTTGTTGCTTTAATGTATCATATAATGAAGATCAAAAGAAACGATGTGTACATGTATTCATTGGAGCTTATTGTTGCCGTCGTTATAGGTAACAAACAGGTTTTGTGATGACAAAGCAGAATACATAATATCCAAACATGTACAATTCACAGTCATTATATAATATATGCTATATTAATCTGAATTCCAGGCTAAAATACACTCATATAGTTTTCAACAAGTCACTGGTGTATATTGTTGATGAATAATAACAAATACTATATTAGATAATCATGTTTCCCCCAATTTTAGAAAAGGCCTCAAACTGTATGGGATGGGATGACTCGTGTTCGCAACGAATGACAGAGACATTAAATGGCTTACACATGACTTGAGTGCTCTATTTATATTGGAGATGTCATGCTTTAAACATATTACCCGTAATGCAAAAGGAAGGGTATAAATAGCCGACAAAACTGTATACAATCATGATTAAGACGCCACAAAAATGGAAAATGAGGAGAAGCAGCCCTTCAATTGACAAATATTAACGACTGGAGAAAGATATAATAATTGGAGGCAAAGCACAACGGATGTCGGTCTCATATGTACGAGGTTTCCCGCGAAATGCACCACCATTTTGACTACTGATGATGTACGTCTTCGGGTCAATTATTTCCTTTACGGTCCCATATATCCATTTTTCTCCATCAATATATTTGAAAAGTAATTTATCTGACGCTTAGTTCGGAATGCGGACGCGATTTCTATCAAATGTCCGCGTTACGGCTCTCTTACGCACTTCACGTTTCACATGGTACTCGGTCTTAGTCAGTTGATTCACATAAGATACACTGACGACACTAAGAATCAAACAACGAGTTTTCCTCCCAAATATCAACTGAGTTGCACTTACGCCCGTGTCCAGAGGCGATTATTACTTTGCTTTAGTATGGCTGGTTGGTCTTCGTCATCATAAAGAAAGAGTTTTCATGACATTGACTGCTGGCTCGGCTTTCTTGTTCGCCTGTTGGTTCATTGTGGGAAGATGTTACGTGAGTTATTTCCCTTCGATGAACCAAATTGTGAAAATCCTGACTGGTAAATAGCGGACCTCCGTCCGACACTATCATTTTGATATGCCGTAACGTGTACAATGCTTTTTCAACGGGGAGATGACGCGAGCTCTTGTCGCAGAAGCGAGTAAATCACACTCGATTAGATTGGAGTGGTAGTTCATAGATATCAGAAAGACCTTCCACGTGATGAGGACAAATCAAAATCGATTTCTTCCACGGATGATCTCATTCCCTGTGTTGTGTAAGCGGTTTCATTTCTTGGCAAATTTTACACGTGCTTGCTAGTTTGATTGGCGCGTTGGCAAGAATAAAGTCCCGCCTACTCATATTTGATTATAATTACGTTCATTAGCAATTGACCCTTGCGTAAATCAAAATTTGGAAAAGCATCAGGTGGCACATCACATTTGTCGATAGGCCAAATTTCATCTAAGAGGTTCGTCAATACTTGCATGTTCGAGTCCTCGTTTGTTGCCTTTCTGACCTTCGAGATCTTAGCAACCGGGATGTCACCAGAAACATCGACCGTACGCGTTCGTCACGGTTTCCGTACGTTGTATCCAAGAACACTCTGCTGTATTTGTCGGTGATAACAAGGTTAACTCCTTACCACTTCGAATTCCACGATGTATCGATGGAATCTCGTCATGATATCTTGCAGTTGGTTAGGAGCCATGCTGGGTTTTTGCAAAATTTTTTTTTGCAAATTGAGTTTTATGGTCTTTCTGAACTTTGACTTGTCGTCTATAAGAATAGTGGTCGAATCGCTAGTACAGTATGGTTGACTCTTCCTTTTCAATTCGTTTCTTCTTTCGTCCAATAACTATGAGGACTTTTGACACAAGTTCTACGGGTCGTCCTTCCTGTAACAGCACTGCTCCTGTGACGATTTTAATACTGTCAACCTGTATGACAACATCTTGCTCGGAATCAAAGTATGCACGACAGGGAGCAGTTGTGAGCTTACGCTCCAGCTGTACGAACGCTTTTTTGCACTCATTGGACTACTTCCACAGCCTAATCTTTCGAGTTAAAGTTCGGATCGGTTCCGGAACTCCAGCTTTATCCAGTAAAAACCCTAGACATGTACTATTTTACGTTTAACACAAGATTCTAGTATATCAGTCGTTGCAGACAAATCATAATCGGGTAATCAGGTTTGCTGATTCTCCACATTAAGTATGATGTTTATGACTTTTGACAACTTTTGCTGGTTGCTTTGGAAATAGCGCTTGCTACTTTCAGTCGGAATGGAAGTCTTGTCCATCTGTAGCGGCCAAAAGGAGTAATAATGGCAGTGAGCATGCTGGGCCTTTCCCCCAAACGCACGTGTCAATTAACTTCCTCTATGTTCAGCTTGCTGAACACTTTTGCATCTTGAGGTTAAGGCAACACCTCATCGAGAATCGGGAGTCGGAAAAGCACTATTTAGAGAGTACAAGCTTAACTCCCCAATAGACTTGTGTATAACAGGCTAACCCACTTGTAAGGCTCAATAACGGTCATAAGCACTCCTCGATCAAGCTCTTTTTCCACAGCATCCTGAATTGCCAAAGGTATTTTCCAACATTGTAGAACTTTAGGTGGTACACTCTCATCGGTACGCAAAGTTGCCTCCTCTAGACCGCCTAGCTTTTGAGAGGGCTTTGTCACCTGAAAAGTGAACGATCTTCATTTATTATTACAAAAATATGTTCTTGTATCGTCCTGAGACCTGAAAGATTATTGAGTCCATTTAGCATATTATCAAATGGAATCTGGCATTCAACACCTGTCCGATGTTACCATTTAAAAAAAAATGCTGTAAAACTAATTTCTGCCTTTACAGAAGTCACACGTTGCAACCTCGCTGAGATTTTCTCTTTTCCTCTAGAATGCCGTTTCCACATACATTAATGTTCCGTATAAGGATTAAATTGATATTCCAGCGGTTTTGTGGTTTTGGGGAAAGTTTCCTAGCTTTCGGCGTAGGTTTTTGAGTAACTTTGTTCACTTTTGGCATGGTGTAAATATTACGGATTTTCTTCACCTGCGTATAAATTAGACTGATCAAACGCCCTGCAACTTTCACTGACTTATCAATGGTAGGTTAATCATCTCTCAATAAAACTTCCTGTATCTTCCCAGTTACGGTGCATGCAATTTCGCAGGCATCATTCCCTCATTTCAAAAGATGCAGATGATCTAGTTTTAAGCTCAGTCAGAAATTTTATCAAATGATTCCCGATACAGCAAATTATAAATACCTATTCGAGTCTAGAATTTCATTCCCATGGAGATTGTTATGCTTTTCTAATGCAACATAAATTTAATCAAGTTACATTATCGATTTCCTCTCCCCAAATTAGTTGGTCATAGATTTCAAGCACATGGAATCCCACACTATTCTATCTTTCATTGCAGTTTGGACGAAATATGCTCGTTCTCAAACACATGAATCTGATTAATACATTTGTACTTCTCGTTGCCAGTGTTTAAAGTTCTCCGAAACATTATCGCAGCTAATGTGGAGCTGTAGGGGCAATCGAAACGAAGCAGCGAAGTTTTCAGAGTCAATGACACTAAAACAGTGTGCAAAACATGATGTTGTTTTAGCATAATACTATCATCGCCGCTGCCACCATATTAAGTGTTGGGTTCGTGAGCGAGCACAAACACGTATGTATGCTGGCAAACTACTCGCAGTTAGTCACATAATACGTAACAGTATTATTGGATAGTGGTTACATGAAAAAACAAAACGGGTGTCTACAGAATAGAAATGGATTGTAGATTTATAAAAATAAAACCCGCATATACTGTTCTTGGGCGCGTTCGCTTTACATTGTCAAGCAGCATCAATCATTTTAAATAACAATTCGTTATAATAACTTAAGTAGTAGATATATCGAGAAAGTATCAAACAGAAGCATATCCCTATGTACATGTAAGGTCTGGTTGGAGGTCATAGATATTAAAATGTTATAATTACATTAATACCACTTAAATCTATCCTCTCCTCGAAATTCCGAGGTTAATTTTCACGCTCACATATGTTATACGTTCTATGCAGAGAATGTAAGACAGTACAAAACCTTGAATTTATAGTTTGACTTAAACCACATATTCGACCATACCTGTAGCTGGATTTTGGTAATAATAAAAGCATGGGCGAAGTCAACATCAGGTATATTTTGCATGATGAATCAAACTTTCCAAATAGCCCATCATACATTGATGTGGGGACTCACCTATCATTTCCTGAATTTACTAATATCTATAAAACAAGCATCTACAAAGTGTTGGACAGAAAGAGCAATCTGCTCAATCGACAGATGAATGAAGCCATCATGATCAGCCGCATCAGATCAGCACTGAATCAAGGTGAGAGGGCTTACAGATTCTCGCACAGTTATTTGACCAGTTATTAAAACGTAGCCGATTCGGTGTGATTTGTAATTTTGTTCATATTTTTACATTGCTAGCTCGTACACATTTTACACCTTTGTGAACATACACTTCACATTGTCTGATGAAGGTGACATGATGAATACCGTAGTAGTCACATCACACATACACACTTCCTGTTTTAATAGTTGTGTTATATGAACTTTTCTTCAGTATGCACTTACTGACCTGAGAAAACTGTTAAGAAATAAAATAAACAACTATTAAACCATGTTGTCATTTCGTCCAATGCGGACTCATTGGTGGTACAAAGACCAAAATAACGAATGAAAATTCAAATTTAAATGTTCCAAAACTAATGTAGAAAAACCAGGATAGGTGCCTTTAAACCCGTATAAATTTACACGTATTGGCTACAAAAGATATTTCATTTTAAACTAGTATTTCTTACAAGCAGTGTCGGAATAAATTCCATATAAAAGGTTGGGCCAAACCACGTTGTTTCGTAAAAAAATGTTGCTAAGGAACATAATGTTGCTAGGTAAGGAAGCATATATATGCAGACAGCCAAGAAAGGAAACATTAGTTTCACAGCACCATATGGCCATTTCCACCATTTAGAACACAAAAGCGGAAGGGAAAAGAACCTATAAAATAAACATGTTTTGGCAATACCAGATTTATTCTTAAACTAGTGTTTCTTACGAACGTTGCAAGAACGTATCACAGCTTCAAGATTAAGGCCATTGTTAGGAAGTGATCATTCATCAGCAGGGTTAGGAAACTTGTTGCGTAAAATAATCACTCAACACACAAAGTAGGGAAATACCGATTCAATGATGGTGAAAGACAAACAAAGTAAGCATTTTACTGCACCTTTGGCCAATTTTCTTTGACTCATCAGCCGTATACTAAAGTGAAAATAAAGAAAATCTAAGTCTGACATATTCCAAAATATTTAGAAATACAGCGAAAGTGGAAAGTTCAACCAACAACCCGGTTACGTAAAATAATCAATAGAAATACAAAGTAAGAAAATGATGATTAAGGAAAATGTTCCAACCTTATTATTCATGTTATATCTTGAAACAATCTTCATTCTTCCATACCTTGTGATGTAAATAAAAGCAAATAGCACAAAATTTCACAATATCTTTTTATTTAAAAAAGTTTACAAATATTTGCATTATAAAAATATCTAAGCAATGAATGTTTTGAGCAAATGTTGTTATGGTCCTATAACACACATTGCTATTGATGACAAACTTAATAAAGCCTGGTAGAGCTCTTTGTAAATTTGTCAGCGATAGAAATGTGTTTTATGGGACCATAACAATATTTGCTTAAATATTCATTATTCATATTTACATTTTGATAGAGTAGTTATGCTTTATTTAGTTATTTCGAACAGTTTTTGAACAGCAAATCAAGTGTTGACAACAATGAAATTGATGACGTCACAATAGAGATCGATGATGTTACAATAGCAAATGTTGTTATAGTCTCATAACAACATTTGCCTTCGCAACGCATTTCAATGGAAGGATGCAGAGCAAATGTAAATATATGAGAGTAAACTTCGAAGACCCCTCGTCGTGGGGGCTGGGGGTGGGAACATAGAGCTTAAACTGATGATTTTATTTTTTCTTTCTTCTTCTGCTACTGACTGTTAGCCGTTGCCATTTAAGCATTTTTGAAGCAAATCCCTAAAGTCTGACAAGAAATATTGATATCACCTGAGAATTTTCTTTAAAAATCATGTATTTTCACTACTTTCCTCAATTTTTCCCCACATGGAACCCCCC